AGACTTGCTAGTGTGGTTCACCATTTCGGAATGCGGTAATATAATTTTGAGAAAGAAAATTACAAAATGTAGGATAAATAAATAAATAAATGAGTGGTTTTCCTAATAAATTTTGCTGAATTAAAGAATATTAAAATTTTCACCTGAAGAACATCATATCCTACCGGGACAAACAAGTAAACCCAAAATTTTGGAAACTTAATTTCAATTAGACAAGCAATATATGTAGGCCTACCACCCGGCCCCTACCAGGTCCAGCATCGATATGTAAGAGGTTGGGAGCGCACAAAAGTGAGCTAGCCCTGAAATGGAATCGGCTGGTCCCGGTTGCCATGCATCTTCAGTTCTTGACCCATCAAATAGTAATCCTGACTTTTGTAAGCTCCGATCCAGGCCATGTGTTGATTCAAGGTCCACAGCTAGTAACTTGGGACTGATTGTGAGATCGCCCGTGGCCCACTCCGGGATCTGTTTGGTCAGCTTTTGTCCTATTGTGTATTTTAACTGAGAGAACACAAAAGCCTTAATTTTAACTTGTGTTATATATATTGAATATCTCATAGATAATTAACTTGCTAAGAGAACAAAATACATTCTTGAAATACTACATCGCTCTATATCTTTTTACTTGACGTTGTGAATGTCTAATACAATATCCCCACTGCGCATGTTATGTCATTACTTTTCTATTTATTTATTTAATAATTATTAAAAATAACTATAGAAAGTATTTTCATTATAATTATATTAATATCATTTTTACATATTAATTTCTAGAATAAATTTCACAAAACTACATATAGTATGACCAAACCATCGCACGACTACAGATTTAACTCGATGCAGCACAAAACTATATATTTAACAACAAATTTATCACAAAATTATACATTTAAGATGAAGTGTCATAAAACTACATGTTTAATTAGTTACTAAATTATCACAAAACTACATGTTTTATAACCAATTTAGTCACAAAACAATAATCTTTATAGCTCAAACATATTACAATAGTGCTAGGGATATGAACTCTAAAAGCTATAGTTTTGTGATAACTTCAATACTAAATATTCAGTTTTGTGATACTTAGCCTTAAATCTGTAGTTTTGTAATACAACGCGTTAAATATGTAGTTTTTCAATAATTTGATCAAAATACATATAGTTTTGTAAAATTTACTCTGATTTCTAATATTTTCATATAGTAATCATTTAAGCTTATGAGGTTTCACTTTGCATTCTAAGAGCATTTCCAAGAAAATGGCTATTTGACTCTCCAAGCTAAAATTTGGAGAGTGAAGAGAAAAAGCACACTCCAAAAAACTTGCTATCTGGCTATCCAAGCCACCTTGCTGTCTGAATCAACTCTCCGATTGGCTAAATCTAGCCAGCCTTCTTGGCTTGCCAAAGGTGATTCCCACCTTCTCTTCCCTCTTCTGCACTGTCTCGTCGTCACGACGGGCCAGGACTCAGATCGATGGAGAGGGGCACAGCGGCGGTTACTTGATGGTATTTCAGTCGCTCCTTCTCCTTGGCACAGCTCCTCCATGTGCCAATTTCCATCGCCACCGCGAGTCCCCCCACTACCTACCCATCCAACGCAACGGCGAGGAGCAGCAGCACCGCCCACGTGCCTCTCCCATCGATGGTCGCCACTGGCTGAAGTCGTCGCAGAGCTGCTAGCCTTCACCATCCGCTACCACCTCCTCCTCCTCCCCTAATTCTTCCCTTGGCAGCATCACCAAAGACTCGCCACCATCCACGGTGGCCGCTGCCACCCCGTGTCATTGGCGTGGCTCCCATCCCCCGTTGCTCTATCGCCATTGCCCGCCATGCCCTTGCCGCCACCTTCAGTCCCCACCTCGCCCTTGCCGCCATGTGTTCCTATTGTCGCCTCCCGCCCCAGGGAAGATAGAAAGGGAGGGAGAAAGAGAAGGAAGAAGAAGAGAGTAGTATAAGCTAACAAATGGGTCCTGGTGTCATAGATTCGAAATGGAGAGTCTGTTAGAATGAACCATAGGTTTGGCTTGACAAATCAGTTGCAGAGCTGGCTATATAGGTGTTTGGAAAGTCTGATTTATGTAGTATGTTAGAGATGCATGCTTGGTCTCATATATTTTAGGATGGAGACAAAACTTCTGTATGTAATCATGCTAACAACTATAGCACTTTCTTTGAAGATATTATATACTATTTAAGATAAGGAACTTGACCATCTAGCTCACAGCTGAGGATAACCCGTAAAAAGGCTTATTAAAAAATAAGGGCCTCTTTGAATCACAGGAAGGAAAAAAATAGAGGAATAGGAAAATGATAGGATTCTGACAGGAATACAAGTGTAAAACAGAGGATTGCAAAGCACAGGAAAAACATATAAATGACCATTTGATAGCACCAAATTTGAGGAGAGATAAAGACTCAAAGAATTCTTTCTATGAGGTTTTACCTCATGTTAAATTTCCTCCAAAACTTACATGGGAAGAGGCATTCCATAGGATTCATTCCTTTGATACAAAGTGCTATATAGAAAAAATTTCCTATAGGAATGAAATCCTTTAAAATTCATATGAAATTTCTTTGAATCAAAGGGGGTCGAAAATATAATTTTGACGGAAAACCTGTGTACTTAGTAATTCAGTAAAATAAATTATGATGAAAAACTAAAATCAACTACGAAAATACGTTTTAAAATTTAAATATTGACAACGACTTATTAGCTGAAAGGAAAACCATGGTAACATAGATATTAATCTGTGCATTTGTACATGCTAGTGATATTACATATATTTATATAAATAATGCATTTAATGCTTTTTAAATTTTGTATATAATCTGCTGAGTAAATATTCATATACAAGTGAATTCTATTTTCTGATGTTTGATTCTAAATTAAGATCATAATAAATAAATTTAGTTTAAAGTAGCTTCGAAATTTGTACTCCATCTATTCCAACATATAATGCGTAACTATCATTAATGTAATGATAAGAAAGAATTATTATCAGTTCCTCGTTTGAACAATCCTAATAAAACAATGCATATGCATCCTATGGAATTAGAGATCTTGAGTGTGGAGGGTTTAAAAAAATAATTTTATAAGATGTGTTAGTTAATTACACATATACATGCATGTCTTGTATTACGAAGCAGAAAGAACCTGTCTTGATATTTTTTAATTTACTTTCGATTTTATCAATATAGTGATTCTGAAATTAACTACAATTGTACTTTTGTAGGAATTATGTGTATATAGCCTTTCGCACATGGTGCTGCCTCACTGACCTGTCTCCGGTGAGGATCAGTCTAGCTGAGTCACCCCATCTAACATCCTCATCTGTATCAGGATTCAGGAGGCTCCTATACCCCATGGGTCGATGTGCATGCTCTCATTGCCTTGTAAAATTTTTGTTCCTTAATTGTCTCCCTCTTATCAGTTACCACCCCCACAGCCAAGAGCCAACTACCATACTCATGCTACCACTTTTGGATCCCTCTGAACCCTATCTGGTATCACTATAATAATTAATTCTATAAAACTTCGATCATGAACCTTAACCCAAGGTCTCAAGCCACAATCCAACTTTTTGTTAGAGACACATAGTCCATTCAATGGTTGTTTGAGAAGGAGAGTAACACATGCAATTCATGCAGCAGAAATTTGATGGTGCAAATTTCGGTTTAATTAAATCCCCTAATCAAATTATGCACATGACATTTATTATCAGTTCTGATGGACTATATCGAAAAACCTTTTACGGTCACATAGAAGATGAACACACGTAACACCCGTTCACACATGAGTACCATTCGTAACTCACATGAAACTCATACAAAGTTCCAACGTATGATATATATAATTCGTGCAAGATATTATTAACAAAAACTAGCGCATCTCAGACAAGACCGTATGGTTAAATCTATCTAACCTTGATATATTAATTAATTGGCATATGTCACTTCTAAATCTAAAAACCGACATCTTTGTGTGGTCATAAATAGACCACACCACCCATAGTTTATTTTTTTTATATATTTTAAATCCTACTATGGCAAAAGAAAAAGGATTAACCTCATGAGAAGGACCCACTGTCAGCTACTCTAAACATCTTTTTCCTCTCCTCCATGCTTTCTTTCTCCGTAGATCCCCATCTTTCTTTGCCACAACCAGCGATGACCCCCTATTGCCACCGCTTCTCCCTCCTTACACATTCTCTCTGACCACCTGTCCTACCTTTTGTCATGGAGAACTTTTCTCTATCTAACTTTGTCCTAAGTTCCTTTCCTCTTTTCATAGGGAGAGCCGATTGATGGCATCATCTCCATCTACCTTGTCCCATTCTTGCCTCTTTCCCTCTTGCATGTCATTAGAAGATGTGTTAGAACCAGATGAACGACGGCGTAGGTGGTGACCTCAATAAAGCAGTAGTGTGAAGTCGGTCTAATAGAACTAGAGCTCGATCCCATAAATTCGCGTTAATTCGAAAGGCCGGATGTGACCTGATTTTGTCAATGGTGACTTGATTGCTTCCCAATCGTCCATTTTGCTCTCCAAAATCATCCATCCCAATCTCCTCTGGATCTCCAATTTCCATTCATTGTCCTCTCTTCTGATCCACCAAAACCATCGTCTTCTCAGTAAAGCATGAGTGTCTTCTCTATAGAGCCACTTGCTCAATCGAGATGACGGTTTTTGCTCTATATTCATTCTGATGTGACCAGAGGAGACCACTCGCCACGGCTGGCATTGGGCATGGCCTTACTGTCGATATCGTTAGGCTCACAGGGGATCAGAGTCAGATGCACAAACAGTTCATGACAACACGGGCCGTACATTCCCGTGGGTCCCAATCCCTGGCATGACGTGATGGCACAGTGTACCACTTGCCCCAATACTGCCTCATTTCCGGGTCCCACATGTCCCTGCCCGTAAACCCGAAACCCGTTTTCCCGCCCTATAAAACAGTATGACACGTACACACTAGCTCTTGGACACAGAGCACGAGTAGGTAGGAGTACAGCAATGGCGGCGGCGGCGGCGGCGGCGGCGGCGAGGAGGAAGCAGGAGCTGGAGTGGACGGGGCGGGTGACGGCGGCGGCGCCGGCGGCGACGGCCGACGAGGCGTGGGCGCTGCTCTCCGACTTCCTGGCGTTCCACCGGTGGCACCCGGGCGTCGCCAAGTGCCGCCGCGTCTCCGGCTCGCCGCGCTCGCCGGGGTGCGTGCGCTACTGCGAGGGCGTCCCCGGCCGCGCCGGCGGCGTCGCCGGCGCCGCCGACTGGGCGCACGAGACGCTGCTCGAGCACGACGCTGCCGGGCGGGCGCTGCGGTACGAGATGAACGACAACAACATGGGCTTCGGCACGTTCTTCGCCACGCTCAGCGTCGCCGCCGCCGGCGCCGCCGCCGCCGCCGGCGGGTGCGAGCTCCGGTGGGAGTTCGAGTGCGAGCCCGTGGCCGGCACGGCCAAGGAGGCGCTCGCCGCGCGGCTGCAGGACGGGATCGACGGCATGGCGCGTAGGGTGCAGGAGGCGCTCGCCGGCCGCCGTGGCGACGCCGCCGCCGCCGCCGCGGTGGCGATGGAGGCCGCCAACTCCGGCGACGTGAACAAGCTTGGAACGTCCATTGCTGTTTGAGGATCAACCAAGTTGGCGTTACTGTTTCGTGGGGTTTTATTGCACTGTTTTATATCGTATCAAGTATTAATTGTTGTGTTGTTCATTTGGTTGTTTGTAGGGGGGAAGGAGCCCTATGTTTTTTTACTGTATGGTATCATATTGATATGACAAAAATGTTTCTGCAGTTATTATTAGGACAGCTGTGATATACTCTCATGTTAATTAAAATTTGGCAATATATAGCATGTCATATGTGGAGATAAATGGCATGTCATACTTGGAGAAATCTGTAAACATTTCAGTCAAATTTAATGATGGTACTATGGTAGACATAGCTTTGGACATGTACAATGATAGAGCCTAGTACAGCCTCTTGGACAATACCAATGATATTTTGTCTCTTCTCTTTCTTTCTTTTCCATGTCAGTGAATATTCCTAATTAGCCAAGTTGAGAGTCTACTGTTCATCACCATTATACATGTCCTTAGGATTCATATATATTTATTGAGGTTGGCATGATACTTAAGAGGAAAAGAGGAGGTAGTGATTATTTTTTGATTAACAGCGGGCAATCGTAACTGTATATTACTTACCTACCATGTTTGACAACTAACCTCTTAAACAACTTGTAAGATATTATAGGGCCATTTATTTTGTTTTTAATTTTAGCTTATTTCATCCTTTTTCACATAAAACACAATATGTCTTCTACTTACGATAATTTAGAAGTTTGATCGAGTATCTTATGGCGGTCTACTGGTAGTATTCTACTATTAGTTCTATCACTATTAAAAGTGATCTCAGCCGTTGATTTATGAGTTTCAATATCACTATATATTCTATTACTAATCATTTGGGTGGTGGTATAAATCTATTGGCGGTCTACTGGTAGTATTCTACTATTAGTTCTATCACTATTAAAAGTGATATCAGCCATTGATTTATGAGTTTCAATATCACTATATATTCTATTACTAATCATTTGGATGGTGGTATAAATCTATATAATCTGTTGCATTAGAAATGATAATTAAACAATCTATAAGCGCAAACATATGTATACATCCTCTGTCCTCTGATGAACATACTTCCATAATGTTGGTTCCATCAAGCTGCTACGAAGCATATATTAGCGCGCGCATACATGTGTACACCATTAAATTGGTGAATACCGGTACTCTTATAACATGCATGGTGCAGTGAAATTAGTTAACTCCGATGTCAAAAAAAAAATAGTTAACTCCCCGTGTTCTAGCTAGCTCGCAATAAATGGAACCCAAACCAAAGGCTAGGGCTGACAAAATGTGCAGGTATAACCTTTCTCTCCTTAGCAAATACCAGAAGAGGAAAATTTTGACTAGATTATTATACATACTTGCTCTGTCCAAAATCAACCCTTCTTATTAACATATCATAAAATAGTTAATTAATTGTAGTAAAGAGGAAAAAAAACACCAAAGTGCTTCTCACTATGGGTGGAAAAATATATTACTCGGGCTTGGATCGGGGTCGCACGGGCTCGGTTCGACTCGAGAGCCTAACTAATGAAGCCCAAGCCTCATCCACAGCTCGTTTTTAAAATGAGGTGAGCCGGAGCTAATGGTATGGCCCATTAGTTTGGCCAAATGACAAGCTGAAGCGCTAGGAAGGAAAAAAAAACTAACCCTCATTCCCCTGTAACCCAGTAGTTTGCCTATTTTCCTAAATGGACATGGCCTGCAAGTCACGGGTTTGCCGCATCAGGAGATACAGCATGACGTGAATGGTGCCTGGCGGCCTTGCCACCGGAGAGGGATCTTCTGACGTACTGCCCTCTGACGTGAGTCACTGAGAACCAATAAGCTGTGGAGCTCAAATATTAGCCACTCAAAATAAGAGTACATTAAGTTGGAAGATCTACTTCCTCTTGTTATCTTGTTGGTCTTGACTCGCAACTTTTTTTTTATTATTATTCTTGCACTCTTTAATGATCCATCTTGAAATCCTACGTCTATGTCTACCTCGGTCGCTCACGTCGTCGTTCTATTGTCATCCATCACCTCTCCGATAATCATTGTTGGGAGGCTAGCTTGCGTGCCAGCTTGAGCCAAGAAACGAGCTGATAGCTGAGCTTATGTTTTTACTCTCTTGTTTAAATAACCAAGTTAGGCTCGTTTCTATCTCACTAATGGAAAAATAGTATTTTTGTATGGGTAATATTGGAAAAATAGAATTTCTTGACTTGTGGACAGAGAGAATACATATAACTATAACAAGAAGTAATTCCTCCCAAAGAGGAGGGAGACAAGCTAGATGCGGTTTCTTTGACGTTGAGAAACAACACATCACATGAAACAGTGTCAGACAATAACTGGAAATCGCAAGATATCATATATAAATAGATCGTAGTACTGTAGTACATTAGCTGTGTGAATTGAATATTCGGAAATGGTACTGTACGTAGCGCAGAACACAGCTATATATACGTACGTACTCCTACCATCTGTTTCCAACTCACACTACTGTTCATCCTCTCATACTTCAGGGCTATAGACAGGGAAATGTTCATCACCTGGCCTTGTACTATGACAAAAACTAATTAACTATATCAAGAGTCGACAGGTCGCAAATCAGAGAACAGAGAGGAGAAAGCAATGTGTCCTTTGGATCATCAACCTCACTACTACTGTTTCAGCTACCTGTGTGTCTGAAGGATATGCAGCAGCTGCTGTCTTGTGAGCTGTGACGCAGTTAGCCATCCATGGATCGATGCCTGCCTGAACAGGATTACTGTACCATTTTGTTACTGTACCCATCACAGTGTAGCAATAGTTTCTTGAGATTTACTGTACATTGTCACTGTTTGTAATGTAACGGTGGGCATTTGATCCGATACGTTAATAGTGGATCGGATGGCCACCACCGTTGGCATGCATATGATCTTGGTACTGTAGAGGATACATATTCTTGTTTGGAGCAGAATCAAGTGGCTGGCAAATAAACCGGTCTTAAAATCATGTGCAAGGAAAACAAATCCTCCTTACTCTCTCCGTCTTGAAATAAACCGATAAATTCCACTACTACAGTACCCTAAAGGGTTGATTTGATTTATGCCACATATTGGAAAAATGACAGTACTACTCGTGAAGTTGAGTAGATTCCACTACAATCTTCTAAAATTAGAACCATACCATTCCATCAGGATTTCTGTCATCTCCGTCACACTTTTGTCGTAGGCATCTTCATCCTCAGTCAATACTAGTCATCTTCATCTCCAAGTAGCGAGCCTGCGCCAGAGGACGGCCGGCCAGCGAGCTCCAGGTATGCTGGCTGATGGTCGTGGACGGCGACGAATCCACATGGTGGTCATCCGCTAAACCACACCCATCCCTTCCTTGCGCCCATCCCTTCCTCCGTGTCACTGCCATGGCTGCCGCTCCATTCCGCTATGGCCAGAAGACGGCTATCTCCTGTGGCGACAAGGTGGAGGTGGAAGTGATCCTCCACGCGGCACAATAGATCCCCTTAACGCTGACCCCGACAGCCGGCCGCTTCGACACACTTAGGTCCCTCCCGCCAGATCCGAAGCCGAAGCGACCTGATGCTCTTATCGCCGCCACGGCCGAGATGGAGGCATGTTTTGCGGTGTTGAACGGGGCGGCGGGGCTGAAGAAGGAGGATACGAGATCATGGTTGCTCAGGAAGGAACTCCGCAGGTAGGACACCGAGCTCTGCGCTGCACACATGCTGGAGGAGCGTGTCCAGCCAGGGAGCACCCTCGTCGCGCTCAACGGCCTCCATCTCTACAGCGTGAGCACCGATGGGCTGCTCTGCTAGACATGGCCTGAGCGTCGTGCCTCTTCGTGTGCGTGCTTGGCCTGTAGCTAGAGAAGATGGTCCTATAAAATGTCCCAGCCAATATTAGATTGTTTTTTCTGGGACGGAGGGAGTAGGTCATGCGTTAGTTGCTGTTATTGCAGAGTCAATAATGCACATAATCTCCGCTGATGCTGTCAGGTGATATGTATGGATCACTATATGTAAAAAGTCAGAACTACTTGTCCGACAAATAAATGTAGGTACAGTTACAGTTTGGCTGTGTTCGGAAGTGATTGATGCGGCTGTGGTCATCATCGCTTTCATCATATATATATCTATTAGTACTACTCAATTAGTAGCTAGTGATGTAGTAATTCTTTTGTAAGCATACTAATCAGATGATCAGATGCATCGAGGGAGAAACTGTACTAGCAGGGATGTAGGCGCTAAATGGGTTTTTGGATGCTAGTAATATTTACTGGGTCAAATCGACGGATAAACACTTTCCGGCCCAGTTTCCCTGTTTTTCAGTCGGAATAAGTTCACCCGAGGTCCCTCAACTTAACAGCGAGATTTTTTAAGGTCCCTTAACCACAAAACCAGAAATCTCTATCCCTAAACTATACAAAACCGTTCACTCAAGGTCCCTAGGCAGTATATATGGATGATTTCGCTGACGTGGCATCCTAGTCAGCAAAAAAAAATTTAAACAAAACACGTGGAGCCCACATGTCAACTGCATATCTTATTTTCTTATATTTTCTTCTCTCTTCTCCCTGCTGCTGCTCCCGTCCCTGCCTCGACCGCGGGACACGAGATCCGCCGTTGCCGCCGGAGTCCTCGTCGTCGCTGCCGGCTGGAGAGCGTGCGTCCAGAGTTTCTCGTCCGACCACCACGCCCGCAGCGGCACGCGGCTCCACCTCAGCCCGAGCACGACCGACGCGGCCACGGAGAAGAGCAGCAGGATGAGGACACCATCGTAGTAGCTCACGTCGCTGGGGAACGTGGACTTGCCGGTGAGGAGGCAGACGGCCGGGAGCGCACAGTAGACGGTGAGCGGGAGGGAGGCAAGCGGGTAGGCGACGCGGGTCACGTAGCCCAGCAGCTACAGGAGTCCGAGGCGCCTGCCGCCCCAGCCGGTCCAGACGGGGTGTGCCGCCGGCTCAGCAGGATCTCCATGGCCGCCACCGCTCGCCGCGACGCCCCCGCGAGGACGTCCGTGGGGCTGGCCCGCGTGTAGCTCCTGAATGCCGGCCTCGCCGGCGAGCAGTACGCCGACGACCAGCGACGGAGCGCTCGGTAGGGCGAGGCATGCCTCGTGCCGGCCGGCGGCCGCAACCGCGAGTACGTAGCGTACCCCGTCCCAGCGCACTCCCACTGGCCCATCACTCCCCCGTTTGTGTACGTTGTGTATTCGTGTAAATTAAGTTTCTCATCGA